GATTAATTTTGGTGAGTTAGAAAGAAAACTCATTTATCTACTTTTCTATCTTTCTTATTTTTCTTTATTATCAAATATAATATTTTATCTATCTCTCTAACTTTTTATCCTTTAAATTTTTTATCATTTTATGCTTTTTAATCTTAATAAACGGTGCACTAGTGACGGAGACAACTGACCAGTTTAACAAGTTGAATTTCATTGCTTGTGTGCATGCTAATAATCCTAATCTTTGCTTGTCATTGCACCATCAATGCAATCAATTTTTTCTTATTGCACAAAAATGTGATTAGTATACTCTTTAAAAAAAAAACATAGATATGAGTCATTAGCCTGCTTGTAAAAATAAACTTTGTAAAAGAAATGATTTTTGCATCTTATGCATATTTTGTGTCTTGGCACCCTATAGATACGAGGGTAAGTCTAGGCGCAACGGTAAAATTGTTTTATTATAATTTGGAGGTCACATATTCGAGTTGTAAATACACTATTTCTACTTGTAGAAGTAAGATTGTATATATCTAATCTTCCTCAGACCTCACAATAAAAAGAGTATCGTGCACCGGAAATACCTAAAACATATTTTATGTATGGTTTGAATGTCAAAACTTAAAGTTAAGATTAGAGATCCTTGACTATCTAGAATAATCTTGTGGTAACCATGTAAGAAGCAAATGAAAACTTTGATTCATTTTATCATTTGTTCCTTCTAATTGTCAGTCTTATTGTCAAACACTTTTGACCTATTGCTTTCTTACGAGAATTCGTTCCATATCCTTAAAACATTTTTGCTAATACAAATTTAACAGAAACAAATTCCATAGAATATTCATCCTTTGTTTTCATTGCTCGGACTCATTTTTAACGTGTGCCCAAAACCAAAATATCCCCACTATTTATAGAGGTACCGGGTTGGCACAGATGTGTTGTCCATCCTAGGCAGCTGCGACCACCTGGCCCAAACGACCCAAAAAAAAAAAATCTCCAGTTTGGGACTCTCTTTTTTCTTCTCTCTCCTCTTTCTCTACAATGGAGGCAAAAGCACACGATGGGTATTCTGTAACCAGACCGCTCCTGCATGGGGATTATGAGAGGCAACAAAAGATTTACGAGGAGGAAGTTGAGGGAGTGACAAACTCCATTGCTGGCACTACCTCCTTTTTCAAGACCTGTTTTAATGGACTCAATGCTTTATCAGGTTCTTCTTCTCATTTCATTATTATTTTGTCCTCTCCAGTATAAATTCTTGAGTATGTGTTTGTTGTTTTGTTCTCTCCTACAGGGTATACCTACTCTGCTACGCTTTAATTTCTCCTAAATCTATTGAAATTTAAGCATTGAGGTGATAGTATAACAAGTGCTCTTTCGGGTTGCTGAGAAGCTTCAGAAACAAAAATAAAATGGAACAGGACCATAAACTATAGGAATATACATAATATGTGAGCTACATTAGAGGGGAAAAAAACTTTCGCACAAGAGTGACTATGGAGATCAGGGGCTTTTCAGAATAAGGCAACCAAAGCAAGTACATTATTTTCAATTTATCTCTTTAACTTGTTCTTTAGATTTCTGGGCTTCCAAGCATGGTATGTTAAATCATAACCTTTTTTTTTTTGCGATGGCAATGATTTCTTACACTACAGGGGAGGGGGAGGCGAATCGAACCTTCAATATGCCGCTCCATTACAGAGGGCTTAAATCATTCGGGTAGGACTGAGGTCCAGAAATCATAACCCTTTAAGCAGATGGGATTTATTGATTTAACAATCTTGGACTTTGTAGTAGTTGTAGACCTCAATACGAATAATGGTACTTTTGCCCTAAAAGTGCCCTCCAATTTTACCTTATGATCTCAAGCAAGCACTGTGTTTTGTTATTTCACTAAATATATGTCTGCTATCAATGGATTTGCTTTGAGCCATGCAGCTGGATTATTTTCTACTTTTTTTCTCACTTGCTAAGTGTTCAATGCTTTATGAAGACCGTGTTTAGCAGTTTGGAGTATTGCTTGAAGAAATAATAAGAACTGAATTTGATACTGCATAATGAACTAAGAATGGGTATATAGCCAGCTTCATATCAGAATGTGAGCTTCCTAATTGAACAATGAGAGACAGCCGGTCCTATTAAACTGAAGATCTTGCAATGTGTTATTATCACAATAACTATATCTCATCATTGAACATGAGATTGTTAACTTTCAGAACCCATTCCTTACATAGGTAATCTTCGTGCTAAACATAGTCCTCATTTTGCTCTCACCCTTCTTTGGATCTTATTCGAGCCAAGTCATGTGCTTCAACAACTTTTTGGAATCGTAGAGTAGCTAAATTTAGATTCTCCTTTTGATTGGTTTCTCAGGAGTTGGAATATTGTCGATACCATATGCATTATCATCAGGAGGCTGGTTGAGCTTGATACTTCTTCTCATTATTGCCAGCTCAACCTTCTATACAGGCTTGTTAATTCAAAGATGTATGGATGTTGATCCAAGTATCAGAAGCTATCCTGATATCGGTGAGCGTGCATTTGGTACAACCGGAAGAATGCTTGTATCCATTATCACAAATTTGGAACTCTACTTGGTTGCGACAAGTTTCCTAATTGTGGAAGGGGATAATTTGTGCACCATATTACCAGACATGGGAATCAACTTTGCTGGGCTAAGAATTGGTGGAAGACAATGCTTTGTTATAATTGTTGGTCTCATTATACTGCCTACTGTTTGGTTAAACAACTTGAGCATTCTCTCATATATCTCTGCCAGTGGAGTTTTAGCTTCTGTCATTATCCTTGGCTCAGTTATGTGGGCTGGCACATTTGACGGTATTGGATTTCAAGAAAGTGGAACGCTTGTAAATTGGAAAGGAGTACCTACTGCTGTTAGCTTATACACGTTCTGCTATTGTGCTCATCCAGTTTTCCCCACCCTGTATACTTCTATGAGAAACCAAAGACGGTTTCCTGAGGTAAAGCAAAGTCTTTGAATCACTTGAAGTTCTTTAGCAAATTTGCATCATTGAATCACACTTGATGCCCCTCATTGCAGGTCTTACTCGTATGCTTTCTCTTCTGTACCATTAGCTACACGTCAATGGCGGTCTTTGGGTACTTGATGTTTGGTTCAAAAGTAGAGTCACAAGTAACATTAAACCTTCCTACACAAAACATTAGCTCAAGAGTGGCAATATACACAACCCTGGTCAATCCCATATCAAAATATGCCTTGATGGTTACACCAATTGTCAATGCAACTGAAAATTGGTTAAGATCTTACTACAACAAAAGATCCTTGAGCTTTGTGATCAGCACCACTTTGGTGATCAGCACTGTCATTGTAGCCCTGGCTCTCCCTTTTTTTGGGTATCTCATGTCGCTTGTTGGATCACTTCTGAGTGTCACAGCTTCAATTTTATTTCCGTGCTTGTTCTATCTGAAGATTTCTGGAACGTATAAGAAACTTTCATTTGACCTAGTGATTATATGGGGAATTGTAGTAATGGGCTTTTTGATTGGAACCATTGGTACTTGCACTTCTTTAATACAAATAATAGGGCATTTGTAGGCATTAAAGTTTTCTTTGATGATCACTCAGTTTCAGTTGTTTAGTCTGTAGCAATGTTAGCAAGTAGGAGACACATTTTGTGTTCCACAATGTAGTTTTTGTAGTTATTGTTCTTGTCGTTCCGATCTGCATAATTTGAAAGATCAGAATTGGAAATCGAAGATGTTTGCCAAGAACTGCTGGAAAATGGAACAACTGTTTAGGAGATCAGGAGTTAATGGTTCATTTCCTACCAGAGGAGGACATTGCTGCACTTACAAGAGCTTAGTTACAAGTGCCGTCCATGACAGCATTCCTAGTTTGCTATTTCAGTTTGCAAAGAGCAATGGACACACCAAATTTGGTAAAGAGATTGAACAAGAGATCAATCAGTCAAGTGTCACCAATCCAAGTTTTGTTTCGATTTACTTTTCCAAATTTGAAATTTAGTTTCTAGGAATTGATATCCTTTTAGGCTTTACTCATCTTTAGTTTCATCTGGTATTTTTAAGATTGTGTGTGAGAATAATAGTTCAGGCAGTGTAATCCACGATCGCATCTATTAATTTAATAAATAGCCTAACTTTTTTCTTTTAGTGTGGTAGTGTGAGTGTGTTAATTAGGCTAACAAGTGCATGATCATCAGTTTTCCTAGTCGATGTAGTTTTGACTCGAGCAAAATTGAAAGTGATACGAGTTATATACTTAAATGTTATTAATTTAAATTTTGGAAATTTTTTAGGGACAGGTTATAAAATATTTATACCTCATTAATACCCTAATTTTGGCATGGATGATTTGTTTTTGACCAGACCGAGAAAGAGATTAGCCAAGGTGTGCATAAACTGACTCGAATACCCTCTCAAAAACTAAAAAATTTTGATTTCTATATTTCAAATTGATAAATACTCCTGACCTTTCTAGGACCTCCCTAGGTATTTAGAACTCAAATTGACTACAAAGAACCAATCTAAGTTGTCGAATTCATCATAATCGATCGTAACTTGATTCATTTAAATTATGATTTGATTTAATTGAATTGACATTTTTGGTACAATAAAGTAAACACATGCAATTCTATGGTCGGATTCGAGTCCATTACTCTTGTGAGGGCGAAGGACTTGGATCGGGGATTAAATCTCTTTAAACTCATATTTAAAAATTATGCATTTTAATACAGGGTTTGAAATTCAGCCTGATCATGAAATTCAAGTTCATGGGTTTTATAAAACCTAAGGGGGGTGGATTTCTTATGTGGATTAATGGGTTTAACATTCAAATGACATTTATATCCTCATATATTCTATATACCCCATATATATAAATTGATTAAGAGACACAATAGTTATTTATATATAAATACATTATTATAATAATCATATATATCTGTGCATACCAAACATGAATATGAATAATATCAAATATTAAATCTTATCTTTGAATTATGACAAGCCAATCCAAAGTTATCCCAAAAAATATATCAAACAGTCCCTAACAGCGTTGGGGTCATCGGAGACTCGTGCTAATCTATGACTTGACCTGTGTCAACTCTCAATTTTCTCACAATAACTATGCATGATAGAGGAAAAATAGGATAAATGATATTTTACGCATTGAAAAGATTTTTAAAATTTGTAATTTATATATTAAAATTTTTAATTTGCTATATTTTTATTTTTCTTTTTGGTATTACACAATAAGTGGAGTATTACACAATTTCAAATATTTTACATAAAAAATTGTAATCATTTTTTTAAAACCAGACTAATTGTTATATTGTTGTAGGGTTGTATATATCAAGATACTTATTTTTTTCACCAATACTCTATCTGATTAGTGATTGTCTTATGCGATCCACGAAATTTGTTATATCTCTTCATAGTCATTGTCACTTATACCCTCGTTGCATACTAATTTTATAAAAAAAATCGCTTACTAATGTACTAAATTGATATTTTACAAAAATTAAAATGTAAAATAGTTGTTCAATTGTGAAGAAGTTAATAAAATATTGGAAGTGATTACATATATCACATATTAGAATTTAATTGGAAGAGATTTATTAAATAATTCAAAATGATGAGAAAATAAGATTTGGATATGGAACACTTGTGAACCACTCTCACTACTAAATAAAATGCTTCTAGTATATAGCATAAATAAGTGATGCTATCTCAGTTACTTTCATTCTATCATAGTTTTTATGAAAACGTACTTTAAATCTAGACTTTTCAATATGAAAACGTGCGTTAAAAACACGCTTTTAGTAGAAAACATTAAACTCATTTTTTGTACCGATGATTTTACATTGATAAAACTTTCTTTAGAAAAATTACAATAAATTAATAACTAAGTTAAATACTATAAAAAAAAAATATGGAAAGTCTACGGTACCGCCCGCATGATCAATCATAAAAGTTATAATTTTTAAAGATCAAATTACAACTCATAATAGAGGAATTAAAATTACCATCATGGTTTCACTTGAGCAGTTGTAAGTTGTAACTTTTGGTTTAAAAAAAAAAAAATCGGTAGCATATATTTTTCCCTAAAAATAAGAAGAATACAAAATTACCGTATATTAAAAGTTAAATTCTAGGATCTCATTTCAGTCCACAACCCATGTGAGGTTATGAAAAGTTTGGATTTGTATCCAATGGATAAAAGTATATATGGTTATGCCAATTTCCTCACGACTCTTTTCAGTGTTTCTAGTTTCTACGAGGTAAAAGACAAAACAGTAAGAAGACTTCTGTTCTGTCCATTAATGCAAAGTCTATTCCTTCAAACGCGGATTCATCTTCTACCTCTCGTTAGAGCGTTGGTGTCATCATAGAAGTCTGGAACTGGACCTGTGACTTAACCCGAAATTCAACGACCCCACAACGACTTCCCAAGCACCACAGATTTCTCATTCACTCCATCGTCGATTAGCCGTATGGCTTGTATCCGGTTCAAGAGATCCAATTATTACTTTATGGTAGGGATTTAAAAGATGTTTTAAGATAACAAAGAATCATTTTTTACTTATGAATAATGTGCACGCATGAAGTACAAAACTTTAATAAGAGACTATTTAAGTATAAATTATTTGGACTGAAAATTTATATTAAGACAAAAAAGAACCAATTTTATAGATTTTCACCATAACAAATAATGAATATAAATTTTCTATGTGAGTGAGTGAAACACAACTATGAAGACACCCAAAATATTTAGAAATTTTAAATCAAAGCTCCCACGAAGGAGTAATTTTGGATTTAAAAAAAATTAGATATTGATTTGAATTATTAAAATTTGATCCTAAAAATTTGAATCATAAAAATAAATAAAAAGGACTATTATATTAAAGTGATAAATTTTATTAAGACTTCTAAAATTTGGACTTAACCAAGTAAAGAGTAATTTTGGACCTAATAAAATTAAATATTTATTTGAACTAATTAAATTTGGACCCTAAAATTTTAATCATAACTAAAATATAAAATAAAAAATAAAAAATTAGATCTACTATATAAAAGAATAAATATTGTGGGAGCCTCTAAAATTTGGGCCCTACGCAATCATCTTAGTTGGCTGAGGGTTGAGCCGGCCCTGCAACGCCTAGTCCACTAGTTTGGGACTCTCCTCTTCGTCTACAATGGAGACAAAAGCACAGGATGATGGGTATTCTGTTACCCTACCCCTCCCGTCTGGCAATTATGAACAGCAATCCAAGCTTGGGGTGGAGGAAGTTGAGGGAGTGCCCAACTCTGTTACAGGCACTACCTCCTTCTTCTAGACCTGTTTTAATGGTCTCAACGCTCTATCAGGTTCTTCCTCTTCATCTTTCACTGTTACTTTTGTTCTTTCTGCAATAATTTCAGGTGTATATGTTTGTTATTTTGTTCTATTAAGTAGGATTCAATGGCTTTTAAAACAGGTTGTATGGATTACTTTGATGTTTTATCTTAGAAACTCTGCCTTTGATTGGTTTTTTAGGATTCGGAATATTGTCAATACCATATGCATTAGCATCAGAAGGGTGGTTGAGCTTGATACTTCTTATTATTATTGCAATCGCAACCTTCTACACAGCGTTGTTAATGCAAAGATGTATGGATGCGGATCAAAGTATAAGAAGCTATCCTGATATTGTTGAGCGTGCATTCGGTACAAAAGGAAGAACGTTTGCATCCATTGTCATGAATGTTGAACTTTACTTGATTGTGACGAGTTTCCTAATTGTGGAAGGGGATAATTTGGTTAAAATATTTTCAGACATGGGAATCCAAATAGGTGGGTTTAGAATTGGTGGAAGAGTTTGCTTTGTGATAATTGTTGGCCTCATTATACTTCCTACTGTTTGGTTAAAAAAACATGAGCATTCTCTCATATATCTCTGCCACTGGAGTTTTAGCTTCTCTCATAATCCTTGGCTCAATTTTGTGGGCTGGCGCATTTGATGGCATTGGATTTCAGGAAAGGGGAACTCTGCTGAATTGGAAGGGATTACCTACTGCTGTTAGCTTATACTCGTTCTGTTATTGTGCTCATCCAGTTTTTCCCACTCTCTACACTTCTATGAAGAGCCAAAGACTCTTCTCTAATGTGAAGGAAGTTCGTTGAATCACCGAAATTTCTTTGGTAGTTTACATTACTGATTGTCACTTGATGTTCTTCAATGCAGGTCTTGCTCCTATGTTTTCCCTTATGTACCCTAATCTATGCATCAATAGCAATTTTTGGTACTTGATGTTTGGTCCAAAAGTACAGTCACAGATTACATTAAACCTTCCAACCCATAAAATTAGCTCAAGAGTGGCAATTTATGCCACCCTGATCAATCCCATATCAAAATATGCACTGATGGTGACACCAATTCTCAATACTGTTGAAAATCCGTTGAGGTCTTACAGCAACACAAGACCCCTGAGATTTGTGATCAGCACTATCTTGGTTATCAGCGCCATCATTGTAGCCCTGACCATCCCCTTTTTCGGGTATCTCGTGTCACTTGTTGGAGCACTTCTAAGTGTCGCTCTTTCAACTTTATTTCCATGCTTGTGATATCTGAAGATTTCCGGAACTTACCAGAAACTTAGATTTGAACTAGTGATTATAGGGGGAATTATAGTGATGGGCCTTTTGATTGGAATCATTGGTACTTGCACATCCTTAATACAAATAATAAAGCATTTGTAAGTAGTAAATTTATCTTTGTTCATTAGGGAATATCAGTATGTAGGGGATGCCTAGTGTAATCCACTAGGTTGTTTTGTTTTTATTATTGTACCAATCTGCATAAGTTGAAAACCCAATAGTGGAAATCAAAGGAATATTGCCTAGAATTGTTGAAAAATGGAATCGACTGTTTAGCAAGATCTGATTGTTCATTTTACAGCAATCTTAATTTGTTATTTCAGCTTGCTAAAAGCATTGGATACAACAAATTTCGTGTCGAAATTTGACAAGAGATCTATCATGCAAGTGTAATCAGTGTCTAAGTTTTATTATGATTTCTTTTGTTCTAAATTTTAGCTTTAGTTTCCAGGAATCCCTATTCTCTTTAGGCTTTATTCATCCTCAGTATTATATGGTGTTTCTTAGTTTGCCTCTCAATAATATTTCAGTTTTTGTAGGTAAATGAAAAAATTATGGAGCACTCTGTTTAAATAAATGGTCTGACTCTTTCCAGTTTTTGTAGGTTCTCCTTTTCTCAATTTTCAATGTTGAAGTCGCAGAATTTTTTATTTTTTGATGCCAATATCTTGGAAAATATGTTTCCAATTGTCAGATTTCAAGTGGAACGGATTAAGGTGTCACAACAAAAGGTGCTGCTGTTATTATCAGCTAATTTTGAAGTTGCCTGGGATCCACTCTGATTTTTGCAGACCTATTTTTTTTTTTGGCGAAAGCACATAAACACTTGTTATGTTATTAAACACTAGAATAACATAACCATCAGAATAATCAAAGAAAAAGAGAGAAAACTTATTTAAATGCATACTACAGACAAAAAGGAATCAGTTCTATTTTGCGAGATGCCCAGGATGCAGAAGCCAAGAGTCACATGAGAAAGCCATATCCTTAAATACAGGGAGAATTAGTGCTTTCGTAAAAGCATTTGTAGGGAAAAAGAGGCAACGTAGTAAACATGTTGATTACTCATAATTAACCATCTTCATATGCAAATTCAATATATCTAGTAACAGGAAGATGCCCTCACAATTAACTTGATAATCTTCTCCGGAAAAGAACCTATGGATGGATTCCCTTACCTTAATAAGGCTCTCCCCAGCCATCTTCTTCAAGCCTCTGTCGCTTATATTGCTTCTCACATAGTGCTCTTTTGTGCCTCTCTACAAGACTTGGGCAGTCTGTAGGGCAACTTAGTGGCTCAAGGCAATTTAAGGCCTAAACAAAGAATTATGCATTAAACAAGAAATTGACAATAGAGTTGTGCATTAAACAAAAAATTGGTCGAAATGTAAGTTAAGAGTACAAACACGAACACACAGCCTTTTGGCAAAACACTGGATTAGCAACACTCGACAGTGGAATTCCCATCACACAATTTAAATAATCTTATTTCCATTCCCATTCTTGGCAGGGAGACAGCTCATCATCAAATGCTGAGTGAAAATGAGGCTAATGATACATGCATACATACGCCATACACATGATTATGCAACTGGTCGTAAATCAAATTCAACTAGTCTGCAACAGATCTAAATTAACCGACCCTGCAGAACCATTTCCGGATGTTGAAATTACGGGCTAAACTAAACTAATTGCATTCAGGATGTTGTAATGTGATCCTTTTCCTTTCCTTTCTTTTCTTTTCAAGGTCAATCTGCGCAGCAGAACTGACCATGAAGAAATATGAACTGACAAATGGCCAATATATCTACATAACACACACACACACACACACACTCATAACATAAACGCAGCATTCTTCACTATCATAACATTCTCAAAATTAGGCGTTCCACAATATTATCTCTAGGAATATTCATTTTTTTCATCTTATCTTTATGCAGGGGATCGAACCCTGTGCCTCTCGCATGCAAATCTAGCGCTTTAGAATTTGAGCTACATCTCTCTCCCTCCCTCACTCTCTCTCTCTCTCATTACGGTTGTAGCATCTAGTGGATACTGATTTTTGCCCGGTTCCTTCTATTTTTATCCCACTCAAACTACAGTTTCCCCAAAGCAGTTTCACGTAACGAGTGCACAAATAAGGCCCTTTTTTATTGTTTTTCTATGATATTTAAAATTTCGATTGTGTCCATATAGTCTATTGTTGCTTTCCTCTGATCGGTTTCTTTGAGTGATTTGACCTTTCCTTCAAGTTGGAGACTACTAATTCTCATTATCCATAGTATATCAGCAATTTTTTGTATATTGCATTAATCTGAGCATATGATTAACCATCCATAGTCATCCAAGTCTGTTTTAGGACATGATGGACAAAATGGGAGAAATGAGAAATGGGCCTGCACTATGGCTTGAGCAGCTGAACCTTGAGGCAATGAAAGTCCAACAAGCTGTACATATGGAGAAGCAGAGCAGCTGCTGCTGATGAATAAAATTATAGTGACTGTGAAATGCAGTAGGTAGTTGCTGCAGGTTTGTAATCCAATCCTTCGAGGGGAAATTTTGTTGATAACTGACGATTGTTTTTTCATATGATATGAAATGCAAGAGTTAAGTTTCATAGAGAAAGCAAGAGATGGACAATTCTCAGAGCATGAATTACCAAGCTGGCCTGGCCAAGGGCCAAGCCAAGTGATCAGCCGAAGTAATAGAATGGCCCATGAATTTCCTCTGAAGTTTGAACAAAGAAGAGAAGTTTTTTTTCCATGGAAATATAACAGTTGTACCATTGAATAAGACTTCCATCTATATGGAGTCTGAGAAAAATAATGGATTATTGTCTGGAACTGTTGGAAATGGAATCGACTGTTTAGCAAAGATCTGATTGTTCATTTTACAGCAATCTTAATTTGTTATTTCACCTTGCTAAAAGCATTGGATACAACAAATTTGGTGTCGAATTTGGTAAGAGATCTATCATGCAAGTGTAATCAGTGTCTAAGTTTTATTATGATTTCTTTTGTTCTAAATTTGACCTTTAGCTTCTAGGAACCCCTATCCTTTTTAGGCTTTATTCATCTTTAGTAATATCTGGTGTTTCTCAATTTGCCTCTCAATAATACGTCAGTTTTTGAAGGCAAATGAAAAAATTATGGAGCACTCTGTTTGTATAAATGGTCTGACTCTTTCCAGTTTTTGTAGGTTCTTCTTTCTCAATTTTCAACGTTGAAGTTGCAGAATTTTTTATTTTTTGATGCCAATATCTTGGAAAATATGTTTTCAATGCTCAGATTTCAAGCGGAAAGGAATAAGGTGTCACAACAAAAGGTGCTGTTATTATCAGCTAATTTTGAAGTTGCTTGGTATCCATAGGGATATTTGCAGACCTTTTTTTTTTGGGGCAAAAACACAGATACCCTTGCTATGTTATTAAAAAAACTAGAATACCATAACCATCTGAATAATCAAAGAAAAAGAGACAAAACTATTTAAATGCATACTACATACGAAAGGGAATAAATTCTATTTTGCAAGATGCCTACGATGCCCAAGCCAAGAGTCACATTATAAAACCAAATTTTTAAAAGCAGCGAGAATTAGTGCTTTCATGACAGCATTGGTAGGGAAAAAGAGGCAACGTAGTAAACATGGTGATTACTCATAGTTAACCATCTTCATATGCAAATTCAATATATCTAGTAACAGGAAGATACCTCACAATCAACTTGATCATCTTCTCCAGAAAAGAACCTATGGATGGATCCCCTTACCTCAATAAGGCTCTCCCCAGCCATCTTCTTCAAGCCTTTATCGCTTATACTGCTTCTCACATGTGCTGCTTTGTCCCACTTCCCAGCTTCAGCATACTTGTTTGTGACCATTATGAAGTTTCCACTCCTCCTTGGCTCCAATTCAAGTAACTTCTCTCTTACCTTCTCACCCAGCCCGTTGTAGTCATTGAAATCATGAATGTTGCATGCGCCCAGCAGCGTCCTCCACACAATTGCGTCAGGTTTAATCGGCCTATCAATGATGAAGTTATATGCTTCTTTTAGATGACCAGCATGACCCAAAACATCTACCATGGCACCATAATGTATCATCATAGGTTTGATCACATGCACATGCTCCATTTCATGAAAGGATCTATGTCCATCCTCCACCAGTCCAGCATGGCTACAAGCACAGAGGACCCCAAGGAATGTCACATAATTAGGTTGAACTACATTTTTCTTCAATTTTCTGAAAAGTTCAAGGGCTTTGGTAGCAAACCCATGCTGGGCTAACCCAAGAATCATCGCACTCCACGTCCATACATTGCGTTCAAGTGTGGCATCAAAAACTAGGCTAGCATAATCCACAGCTCCACACTTGGCATACATGTCAACCAGGGATGTACCCAATTGACAATTTACAACCAACCCTTTCTCAATAACTTGGCATGAACCCATTTTCCCAAGTTCAGGTTTCCATGCTCAGCACAAGCAGAAAGCAGAATTACCATCGTGGTCTCATCAGGCTTTAACCCACAATTTTTCATCCTGACAAAGTACTTAATCGATTCATAGAACCACAAGTTATCAACACAGCTAGAAATGATTGAATTCCAAGAAACAAGAGTTCTAAACAACATTTCATCGAACATCCGGCATGCATGTACAATCTTCTTACAAGACCCATAAAAATGAATCACAGTATTCTGCACATATACATCATCATCCACTCTGTGCTTCAAAACATCCGCATGGATTTGTTGCCCTTCTTTGAGCCCCGAAAATGTAGTAGAAGCCTTGAAAAGAAATGGGTAAGTGAACTCATTGGGTCTGGTTCTTGAACGTCGCATTGCAAGGAAAACCCATATGGCTTCTCTTGGTGAATCGCCCTTAGTAGCGTAGCCCCTGATGAGATTGTTCCACGAAGAGGGTATTTGGTTTTCGGATTGTTTTATAGCTTGTCTTGCGTGATTCAAGCTTCCCGAGGGATGTAGTGCGCAAAATTGGATGATTTTATCTACAATTTGTTCATCTTTCTGGAAACCAGCGATTAGGATTTGTGCATGGATTTGAAAGAGCTGATCCAGAGAAGAGCAGGAGTTGAGGAGAGAGAGGCATTGTTGCCTTTTGAAATCCGAATCGACATTCCAATTACAGTTGGAGCTTTTGGCGGGTATATTTGCTTGGTGGTTAAGAACCGTTGCCGAACCATGCCATGAATGGGGGCTGCACAAGCATTCTGGACTTTTTCTCAATTAATCACCCAGTATAATGGATCCCAACCAAATGAGACGCACGGATGGGCCAGTTCTTGGACACCGATGAACATATGGACTTTCAGACTTCAGTATAAGATAATGGGAGGGCCAATATTGTATTTATTTATGAGTAATGGTATAAGACAGAAACTTAATTCAATGGAGTTAGTAAATTAGTTATAACTTTTACTAACAATTAGCCACAAAATAAAACAATTTATTATTTATTACAGGCCATAAATAAAGAAAATTTATTCGTGATAGATCAATGTCTCACGTGTCTATTGATCTACTGCTAATTAATAAATACAGAACTTCAAAGGTGCACACACAAACCATAACACCACTGTTACTGTCATGTAGCCATGCACCCAATGCCATATCGAGTGTTGGGAAACACAAGAAACAAACCACTACAAACTATCCCAACCATTAATGGAAAACTCTCCGTCACTTCGTCCATGTCCTTCTCGTGCCCCGGAAACAGACAGTTGGTCACCCGATGATCTGACAACGCGATCGCCATGAACACCATCACTGACATGATTGCGTGGATAAAGTCTGTGAAACCAAGCTTATATCTCTCCTCTTTAGGCACTTCCACATTAAGACCAGGCTTAAACACAGCCAAACCCCTATTGGTCACAAACCCATAGTACACTTTTCCGTCCGGTCCTCGGAAACTATCGGTGAAGTGAAAGAAGAAGCACGAAAGAGCGCACAATCCCAATAGGACGTGGATCATTAAAGTGCTGACCGGAGTGCATTCACCATTGTGGTATATGGAAGGAATGACCATTTCGAATGTGAGAAGTGTTCCGGTGGGGAGGAAGTTGGCGAGCATGGAAGTTTTCGATAGGGTTTTCTGTACTCC